AAATAATGTTGTGGGGACTCCAAAGCCCCTGGATTTGGGTCCTCACATGCTAGAGCTAATGAATTAGACCCCACCTTTTACCGATAGCTCCCCTACAGAAGCACAAGGCAACCGACACCTTTCCTACCCTTTCCACAATATTAGGATTCTGCGACAGCCGCCGTTGATTGCCCACCTAGTTACCTGATTCGGGTAACATTGAGTCAGATCAAAAAGGGTGTACAGAAATCGTACCTTAACCTAAAGTTCCCCATCGTCTACAGAGGCGATCACCCGACAGCCCACTTTTCCCAGTTCCTCTAGAAGGTGGTTTACAACCGCAATCTAGAGCAGGGGAGAGGGAACACCACCTTGTGGAGTGCTCTTATTGACTCTGCACTGAGTGCAGACGACCCCCACTCCGCCGCGACAGTTCTGTCACGAAGTGAGAGGTAGGTAAGGCTTATTAAGTAGGCGAAATTGTTAATGGTTTGAAAGAATTTATCGCCCAGGCCATGTGACGATCATCCAGAAGATCGGAGAAGTACAAAATATCGCAAAGAAGTATTTGACTGTACTTCGAAGTACAAAGTACAATAGCGAAAAAAGAAGTACTATATTTCCGAAAGAAGTACGGTTGGTCACATTATTAATACACCTTTAGCATTGTTTCTGAAAGATTTCTCTAGATATCCACATTAGCTGCGGTCGAGAGAATTTTTTCTTTGGTCAAAGATATCTGGTCCGATGATAAGTCACAATTACAAATTTAAATATTAAGGTGCATTATGTACGTAAGGTACAATACCAAAATGACATGCCTGGAATTTTATAACTTTCTCAATGTCAACCCCAAATGTTACAAGCGATAGGGTCTAACATGAAGTCAAAGAAAGGTTAATAAAAACATTAAAAGTAGCGCTTTAATGTCGGCAATATTTTACTTTTATAATTTACTACAAATAAAATTTGTATACATATACATATATAGAGATTAAAATGTTTAAATAGTTGACAACCCTCTTTCCTTTCACTCCATGAATGCGTTGCAATGTTTTACTCGATATATATTTAAGTCAATAAAATTTTAAGCAGGTGGCAACCCTATTAAATAGTTGTTATTTTTTTACCTCAACCGGTGAAGCTGTAATTCAAAATGGTGTCTTAATCATTCAATTTTATGGAGTATTATGGAAGATATGGCGCTTTATTGCCCGGATACAGATACAGTGATTTTAGCTTTTTAAAACCTTTTTTTTTTAATAAATAACTAAATATCAACAACGCACAGTGCCGCCTAAGTAGGCAAAAATCGATAAATTCGTTATCTGCAATGTGAACTTGTTTGGTATTTTTGTAAAGACAATTTATCCACTAAAAAGAATTAAACACACATTTCCCTAAAAAATTAATTATATGCCGCCAGGAAGCCACTAAAGTCTACAAATTTTATATTAAGAATTTTAATAAGAGCATAGCTATGCGTAAGCTCTTCAAAGAAAAAAATATAAAAAAATATATTCTTTGAAATAAAATGTTGGTTTGACGTTTCTTGTTCCCATATAGATAGTAGAGAATTACAGGAATTAAAATTTTGGAATAAACTTAAACACAGGGTGTCCCTGCGGTATTCCAGAAAAAAACAATTTTTTTAAACAAAATTTCAAAAAATGCTAAATTTTATTAGAATTAATGAAAAACATATATGTAAAAATAGGTGTTTAGCTGAAGGAGAGCGGGAGACCAGGTTAAGAGTTGTGGTCGAGTTAGAGTAGTAGAGGAGGTAGGGATTACCCTTGCAAGTGGTTATTTATCAAGCTCAATGAGCCCGTATGGTATATAGGTGCACATCAAGCCAACCACGCACTCCATATGCCTGCTATGCGAGAGAGAGAGAGAGTGAGTGAGATATGCGGGCAGGCTGATGAAGCGGTAGCGCAAGCTGTGACCCTTTTACCATGTATCAATTGGGGGACTCCATTGGAGGAGTCATGCTCTAGCTGCCGTAGGCTGCTGTGCAATGAACTGGGATTTATTCAGGGATGCATTCATGCAGAGGCTCAGTGTGGCATGTAAGCCGTAGCTTACTACCATACCAAAAATTACTCCGGGAGTGGAGTGGGAGCGATGCTTAAAGCACCGTGTGATAGCCAAGCTGGTTAAGCGTTGACCATAGCTGAAAATGCCAGCGACTTATCACGTCACTAAGTTCAGCGAAGAGATATTTGAGAATTGCAGAAAAAATGCATACCCAATTAAGAACGAGCGAATTAATTTTAAACACAAGTGCGTGTGTTTGTTCGCTGCACTTGGTTTTGGGCAGGAAATGCAATATAAATGCGTGTGGGCGTTCGCTGTTCTTTGTTTATGCGGGAAATGCATAGGTCGTGTAAACAATAGGTTATTTTTTATTATTTTCTTAAATAGTACGGGCTTTTAGCTTTCAAAAGAAGAAATAAAAACCTGCTCATTTTTTGCACTTTCTGAAGTGAGGCGTTTTTCCCTAATGCATACAATAATTTTTTCATTTTTTTCAGTGCCTTGAGATCTGCACGATTCGTTCCATTTTCAAAATGAAGTGTCAGATTACAAAGCTTGACCTGTGGACAATAGAAGGTTTATTTTTTGCCACCTGTTAAAAAATTAGATTGTTAAAATATTAGATTCCAATTTTTTTATAAGTTAAATGAATTATTAAGAGCTGGGTATCAATCGAAATGTGTATCAACTACATACAGCGAGTTGCCACCTGTTTAAAAAATCAAATTCCACTTGAATTGAAGGAATTAGGTAACTGAAAGAGATAAGTATCACTATAAGGGAGTCAGACGAAAGAGGTTTAGGAAGGTTTTGGCTTAAAAATATTACGAATAGGGGTTCCACCTGTTTGTAAAGTCGTATTTAGTTGAACTAAAATAATAATTACGTCAAACCATAGGATTACGCCATCTTATTTGTTATTTTATTACAAATACATACATTGTCAATCAGTGATTTGTTCTGATGACATTCCTTTTAAATTAAGTCAGGAATGGTTTTACTCTTCACTTATTTCTTTCTAGATATGTAAATTTTTTTCATTTTTCCGATACTCATATTGATATACATATTTCAGTTACCTTATCCCCTTAATTAAAGTGAATTTGAGTTTTTAAACATGTGGCAACCCTTCTACGTGTCGTTTAGAAGTAAAGTATTTTCAAAACTAGTTCAATTGATACCCATATTGTAATATCTAATTCATTTGACTTATTAAATAATTTTACTAAAATTTGTAACAGGTGGCAACCCTTTTCAAAAATAAAAAACTTTATTGCACCTCTACAGGCCAAGCCCTGTCATTGGACACATCACGTTTGAAAATAGAACGAACTATATGTACATACCTATTTAAAAACCACAAGAACCCAAATTTTCAACTTCAAACTGCATTTACAGTGAAAGTATGAAAGGTATCCAAAAACAAATAGCATTTTTGAATTTAGCGTCCTCAATTTTAACAAGCAAATTTTCATTTATATCCGTCCATAATTCTATTTTTGCCCATATTTTATATGGAAGGGCAGCACTGTGCAACGCGACTATTTTTCGCATGTACGTGAGCTTCTCTCCTTCAAAATGATATATCATTCATTAAATTTTATGAAATATTAAAGGAGATATAGTTTGATAACAGAAAAATACCTTTCAGAAATAAGTACATACATTATTTTATTTAGAAAAATTGCGGAACAAATGTTTACGAAATCTACAATAAAACCTGTTTTGCTAACTTTAATCTTCCCCAACAAATATTTTTACTGGATGGGTATGCTACCGGAAATTTACATTTTTTTAACACAATTTTTGACTTCTTAAATGTATTAATCAATTTATAAATAAAGAAAAAACTTTAAATGGTTCGACTACTTACCGTTGCAAACCTTCCAGCATCAGTGGCGTAAGAAATACATTCACCTGCCCCTTCAAACGGGCTACCACTGAGGTACAAGCTGCCCCTTCTGCTTGCAAACTCATAAATTCGCCATCGTCGAAGCCATTTGTCGTCTTATCGCTCTCCTCTTCTTTAAGTAAAACGCTGGGATCCCATGGATGCGACTTTGGACCGCCTATAAATGTGGCGGAGCTATTGCTGCCGGTCGCATTTTCATACCGTGGTACCACCTTGATTTCACGCCAACAAGCGTACAAGTCAAAGTGCGGCACCATTTTGCTGCCTATATAGGTCAGCCCGCCATCGTCGTTTTCGTGAAATAGGGGTGTAGAGAAAACATCTGGTCCTGATGGAAAAGAGCAAGCGGTCCAATTGAAGCATTTCAACTGCGATAAATGATTTAGATAGCTTGCCATCAATAGTGGTGAATCGATGATTGGCCGATTCACCTGTTGGTGCAAATTGACAAGGGCAACATCTTCTTGCGACGACATGGCTGAGATGAAAGAATTAGACGACAGCGAGGGAGTGCCCGAGGAGGTTCCGCGAGAATCAGCCTGTAGAAAGGAATTTTGAAGAAAATTACATTGTTTACGCAAAAAAGCTACTGTGTTGTGGGTTATCTGGCTGGCGACAAAGATATGTACTTCTAGCAATGCGATAAGCTAGAATATAAAGAGAAATAGCAAACTAGAAATAGGTCAGGCATCTGGTTTTCAAAGAAAGCAGATTAAATTTTAGAAGTAAAAAATAAATAGATAACATACATCATATTGTGGCAACACGTGCCAATAAAAAAGCATTATGCACAGAATTGTGTTTAGCTTTTCGCTTCTTCTGTAAAAAATAAAAAATGTCAGTTAGTGCCTTTCTACATATTCTTACAATCATCTGAGTACAATACACGTACAAATGGCGTAACATATTTTACAAACCCATGTATATTACTAAACTGTATATACAGTATCGGTCATATCTATAGCACGCCATTTCAAAGTGATATTGTGTGCCACTTATATTTATTTATTTATTTTTAAGAATTTTCAATTAAAATACAGTTCTTTTTCTAACAAACCCCATATAAACCCAAGTTTAACAATTTGTAGAAAACTTCAAAAAAGTGCAACAAATTTTCACCTAAGTTTCAAACTTTTTTCTCGGAAGTGTTAGAATTTTTTCGAGTACGCAGTTTTTTAGCCACTGCAATTTTAGTCTGGTAATGTGCAAATGTTAAGTGGCTACGATTTACCGTTAATTTTTTAGAATTTTTTTTGTCGCATTGGCTTCCATATAATGAATAAACTCTATTTATTTGTATATGGAAGAAATCCGCAACACCTTTGGCGAAAAAAATTCTAAAAAATCAACGGTAACTTTTAGCAACTTGAAGCTTGCACATTATTAGACTAAAATTGGTTGGGCTATAAAACTGTGTGTTCAGAAAAATTCAAACACTTCTGAGAAAAAAGTTTGAAATTTAGGTGAAAATTTGTTGCACTTTTTTGAAGTTTTCTACAAATTGTTAAACTTGTTTTTATATGGGGTTTGTTAGAGAAAGAACTGTATTTTAATTGAAAATTCTCAAAAATACATAAATAAACATAAGTTGCACACAATATCACTTTGAAATGGCGTGCTATACATATGACCGATACTGTATGTATACGTAAAGTACAGCACCGTTATCATTTTATATTTGATATCGTTAGCACTGTAGATATCGTTACCGTTGGAGTTGTCATTACCGTTAATGTTATAATTAGCTTTAAAAACAGCCTTAGCAATATCGTTGTGGGTGTCTTTTTTCTTTTTTAAATTCGTAAATCGGCTTTCATCAGATTTGAGGCTTTTCCCATTTCTCTTTTAAAATCTTTTTAAATTAGCATGTCTGAAAAAATACATTTCTACCAATCCCCAGAAAAAAAGTAGTTTCTGTTGACAAACGTCGTTGCTTGAACTGAGCTGCTCTTTTAACAGACTGCCAGGCCACTTGCTTACTTTGGTGAACAGTTAAACAGTTTTATTGTTTAGAATCATAATAATGATGCAGATAAAGTACTAAAAGCTAAAAATTATTACACTTGAATATAAAATATGTAAAAAATAAGTTAAACGGTTTTATTGTAAAGAATCATAATAATGATGCAGATAAAGTACTGAAGTGTTATCTGGTTAAAAATTATTACTGTTTAGTGTATTTCGTTTTTGTAAACTGGGTTAAAAATATAACCACCTAACCAGATAACTTGATAACCAGACATCTGTGAATACCCCATAAAAGCTAAAAAATAATTAGGTAAGTACCAATCATCATACCACTCTCCTAATCAATCTAGGAGATTGGTAAGGTAAAATAAAATCGATGTATGATATTTTTTAACTTTTGGTACTTTATTTTCATCATTTCTTAATATAAAACCATTTCATTTGTTTAGATAGATTCATGTATTGACTGTTTAAACTCTAGGATCCACCATTTCCATTCGAGAGCCATTTTGAATAAGAATTTTTTTCTAAACGCCCTTTAATATAGGGGGGATTTAAAAAAATATGTAATTCGCCATTTTTTCATAGTGTACTGTATTCTACTAGTAAGCCCATATTGAGCGGTTTTTTTTTAAATATATGTGACCTGGTCTACGGAAAGGGGGCTTAGGTGTCAAAAAATCAATTTTCACTTTTTGGTTGATTCGGATGGAAGATGAGATGCTTTTTCACGTGGTGAAAAGCAGAAAATCCTAACTTGCTTAGAAGTGTACTAAAAATGTAGAAACAGAAACAGTAAACGTCACTTCTTCAGTGTTACTTTTTTAAATGTTCCACACTAGCAACTTACACGATGAACTATAATAATATTCCGACCAACAACAACACTTACTGGACGTCCGGCGCGGAGAACAATTAACGAGATAATGAGAAACTGACGAAACGAGTTGCTTACTTTTAACAGCTTTTTCACAGAAAACTAGTTTTCGCACGTAAGCTCCCTTTTCGTAGACCAGGTCACATATAGTCCGCACTTTTGTGGCGGCGGTCATATTGGTTTTGCAATGATACTGAATATACATACATAATTGTATTTTCATCAGAACTAAGGGTGTATAACAAATTTTTGATCAATAGGTCGACAGGAAGGGGGTGGAATTTCAATTACTAGATTTGACCCAAACCAGGTAAGCTAAATTAAAATTAAAAATATATTTTAATTCATCATGCTTTAAAATTTTCATAGTCTAAACTACTAAAAAACATTTAACAGAAATAAATTCGGAGTTAAGAAAACACATATTCTAGAAAACTTTAAATTGGATTTGGGTGTTTCCATGAAAATGTAAACAGAAAATGCAAATAAATGAAAACGCGAAACGGTGGAAGGAAAAAAATTAAATAAAGAACTGAATTATATGAGTGAAAATTTCTCAAGTGGGCCACCTAAATTTGGACGGACAAATTTTTTTTTGGACAAATCACCTTATTCGGTTTACAACTATAAACAAAAAATACAATTTGACCAATTTTGCAGTATTCGAAGTTTTACAAGAGTTATTGTTATTAACTTGTTTGTACATGAATTCAGTAATTATTCATTTTCTACCGACTCATAGCGTGTATCTTGCTGATTGTTTTTAAAAGACTTCAAAAAAGGAGGTTATAAATTCGTCGGAATATTTTTTTGTGTATCTTACCGCATAACTTTAGACCACGTTAACCGATTTCTATAATTCCTTTTTTAAAGGAAAGGTGGTACCTCCGAGGTGGTCCCGTTTAGATCCGATCATTGGATCATGAATAAATTAACGGTGCTCTTAAATTTTTATATGACAATTGAAGTCGGTTTTGTTTTTTGCTTAAAAATTACTTGTTCATGATAACAGTTAATTAGACCCCCTTAAGCCTGAGTGTTCAAATACTCGTCATTTGTAAAAAAATTATAATTTTTATAAAAAAATAAAAAATATTTACTTCTTTTTAATCTTTTACATTGAATATCAATCTAACGGGCATTATTAAAAGAAAAAATATTCTAAAGTACATTATTTAAAAAAGCGGAAACTTGCATGTAGTCGTAAAATTATCATTTTTTTTTTATCGCCTCGAATCATTCGTTGTTGGCGTTAGCGCGCCGCAGTATCGTGGTGAAGCAAAAGCACCCGTGAGCCACGGGGCGTGGCAGCAGTGAAAATAATTAATAACTAGCGAATTCGTGCAAGTTTCCGTTTTTTTTTTTTTTCAAATAATGTATAATAGAATAAAAATTCATATACAGTGTCCAAGATTAAAAAATCTGGCCGATAAGTAATAAATATTTAATTTTTTATAAAAATTGTTTATAAAAAGTTTCTAAATTTTTACAAATAATGAGTATTTGAACAGTCAGGCTAAAGATACACGCTATGAATCAGTAGAAAGTAAATAATTACTGAATTCATGTAAAAAAAAAGTTAATAACAATAACTCTTGTAAAACTTCGAATTTTGCGAAATTGCTCAAATTATATTTCTTGTTTTGTATTTGTGTGAAATTATTTTGACCGTCCGAATTTAGGTGGCCCACTTGAGAAACTTTCACTCATATGTGTTATTAATAAAAATATAGTATGAGGGATAATCTGTCACGTCCATTATCACATTTTATTTCAAAATAAAACCAACAAAGAATTGCTTCTGATTAAATGTGAATTGATTGTAATGTTCCGTAATTTGGCTTAATTTAAAGAATGTTTAAGAAAGAATTCGCATATTTTTGCTTATTTTTACATGTACTCTGAAAACCACTTCCTTTTTTGTCACGTCCGGTCATAACGGATCGATTTTCCCGACACCAGTGTTCCAAGCGCACCTAATTTTTTTGTGAACAAAAGACGGCGTAAAAGATACACGACGGCCGTTTTTTTATAAGTAACTTCCGTTTTCATATGATTTATTTAACTCTATTTTATAACTATTTAAGTCGTACGAATGTCACATCCGACATCATGGAAACACCCATATGTGAAAATACTACGAACAAAATATTCATACGAATTTCAAATTTTACTACAAGCTGGAAATAGCAAGAAGTAGAAGTAGTAGGATAGTAGATGTAATTCGGCGCTAAGTCTACTCACATCATGAATAAAATGTCGATACTGAGGTCTTGATGAAATATTTGTAAGTTTTCTGATTGGTGTGGCAAGACCATTAATACGTCTCACGTCTTCATTCTATGAAATTGATGAATTTTGAAAAGAATTGCATGTGGAATATTTTTATAAATCGTACATAAAAAAATTTTTAGGGTTTTTATGGATTCATATGTAGTTACGCCTTAGTTATTCACGTAGACATGCAAATTATTTTATCGATTTTCTGATAAATTTTTAACATAAGTGTTATGAGCAATGTTTACGAGTGCCCAGCATATTAAATATGAAGTATTAAAATTAAGTTTGAATAAAGTTTAACATTTACGGAAATATGTAAGCTATTAAATTTGGAACTTTATGGAGTTGTGACCAGGGTTCGAAAATTCTCACTCACATTCTCGCACGTTCGCGATCTATAATATTCCAAATCAATTTTTGTATTCTTTTACCGCGAGTGAAAAATGCAAACAATTTTATCATCTCTCACATTCGGAATGCGATCGACAAAAAAATTTCCGATGCTTTTCATTCGCGATCGAAAAAAGCATTGCCGATTTCGGCCTCTCATAAATGACAAAAACGATGCAAATAATCCATTCGCGATCACTCACAACAGCTTATCGCGATAAACTTATCGCGAAAAATTTTCAACGACGTTGTATGGGAGATATTCGCGTTTGTTTTGGGTATGCATTTTGTTATGCATACAGCATACATACGTATGTACATATGTATATGCAAGTAATGCAAGCAAATGCTTTTCGATTGGAAGGAATGTAGGAATATGCACAAATATATGAATTATTGTGGTAATATATATGTATGTCTGTACATATGAATTACATACATGCATACGTGTATTTAAGGTATATTCCAAGCGTACACTTTTCAGTATAATGGTGTATCTGTATGTTATTTTATTATAATGATTGCGTTTATTTTTTATATCTAATAAATGGAACTTAGTGGGGATAAGATTGACTAATGAGAAAAGTGGGCGTCTGGTGAAGACTGAGAGTAAAGAAAAGCATAAAAAACAATACATATAAATTTTTTATTTCTTTTAAATGGTTTGATTCGCCATTATAAGAATATTAATAAGAAGCCAAAAATATACACACGTAAATAGAATAAGAATATGTATGGATGCATGCAGGGTTCGGATTTGCCTCATTTTAGCCCCTCGCTCGCTCGTTAGTTTGCTCTGAGCTTGCGCAACTCACGAGCAACAGGCGAGGCTGTTTGCAAACGAGCACTCGTTTAGTACGTGCGCACGCGGTGAGCAGTTACCGAGCGAGTAAGCAAACGAGGGCAGCGCAAGAGTAGAGCGGCAAGCAAACGAGGACCTCATTAGCTCTGCCCTCGCGAGGGCGCCGTTGCGAGCGAGGCACTCATTTGCAGCAGCAGACGAGCGAGGCAAATGAGGCAAGCAGATTAAGCTGGGATCACACGATTTGTACATTTGGCTAAAAATTTGTCAAATTCATACACAAATCATGTGAACGCTAAATTACATTTGTCATTTATCAGAAAAGCCAAATATTTGCCTTCTTGTGGCAAATGAAAATCAACCCTGGTGGCCAAATCGTGTGAACGCAATGCTGCTACATAAGCCAAATAAAGATTACGCAAACGACCAAATATCTGATTTGCCACTTGATGACAAATGCCAGTGACAAATATACAAATATTTTTGAGCGGTATTGCCATTTCGTGCTTGTGAACCTTTGTATTTTCCAATTTTGGTAAAATTTTAGTATTTATTAAAATATTCGTATCCGAAAACTACCGAAAAATATCACGTTATTTGAAAATAATTTTAAAACATTTGCTCAAACTGAACATTTGAAAACATGTACATATACGTATTCGACAGTAGCTGAGTGTGCAGAGAAGCGTGCGACTATTTGTAAGCTTTCATGAGGTCCCAGGTTCTTATGCCGGCAGACGAACATATTAAAAACTATTTATAAAATTATAATTAATTTCTGAGTATAGCTAACTATGAAAAAGCACATGTGAAGTTCAGAATGAAAAATTTCAGAAAACCAACCGGAAAATAATTCGTTGCACATCCCTTCGTGGCACTGTTCTATTCACCTTTCTTACAGTTTTCGGATCTCTTTCCGCAGTTTTTGCTGGCTATACCCATATACATACATGCATATCGTCGTATAAAGTACAAAACCGCGTATCGTTAAAATCGCATAACTGACATTTGCTGCCAAAAATTGGATTTGCTTACAGAAGCTGTTGGCTCAATCCTTATCCATTCGTCCTGAAATATACTATCCAGATTGCTTTATAAAAAAGAGAACAATTTTGAAATATGAGTGTTTTTTATCTAAATAATAATTTATGCAACCTCACATAGGCGTCATGGCATTTTGTTGATACGCGGTTTTGTACTTTAAACGACGATATATAGATTATTATCGAAATTTAACTGTGTGACAAAAAAAAAAATTATATAGTTTTTTCGAGGTTCACACTTATTGTAGGTCTATTCAAGCAGTAAAATCTGCATACTCAGAATTTTAAATACACCCTCAAAATCTGGGCTTAAGGTCAAAAACCGCGTTTTCAAAGGGTGACGCATAGGTATACTTGCTCGTAACTTTATTTCTGTTTACCCGGTGAAAAATACGTATATATGTATGTGATTCAAGATAAGACATTTCGCTGCTTACAACAATGTTTAAATTGATAATTTGTCTTAAGAAATGGCAAACGAATCAGTGATCGGACTTAAAAAAAATTTGTGTGGTAGAATCTGGCAAAAATGTGGTAGATTTCAAAAAAATGTGGTGGATCTCAGGTTTTGGATCAAACTTTGTACAAAAATTAAAAAAAACTGCAAGGTTTCACCTAAATTGCAGACATTTTAATTAGAATCTCAAACAAAATTAATTTTAGTATAATAAAGTGTAAGATTGAAGTTGATAAAAATTGCGTTGAGTTTTGGCAATTTTTTTCCTTAGTTCCATATTTTGAAAGATTTCTGCAACCTTGCGGAGTGCTGCCAGCTTTTCTTTTTATCACATCACGATGTAGCGAACAAATGTGGCTCGTTCCAGAAATGCTACTTGGGATTTGCCGATTTTGACAATTCTCAAGTAAAAGTAAACAACGCTTTAGAAATTTGAGATGCACTGAAATTTGCCAATCCCTTCACAAAAATCGCCGGTTTATATCATTTTCGCTATTAATTCTTTTTATAAATCATACATTTTGCAATTTAACACAATAAAACCACGTTTGATGTCGAAAAATTGAATATTGAGAAAACTTACTCTTTTACAGTTTATTTTATCCTCCCATTATGCCTGTTGTTAGTGTTTAGTGTTGGACAATTTTTGCTCTTAAAATTAAGAAAATTATGTTTATTTAGCAAAAATAAAACTACCCAAAACGCGAATATGTGGTAGATTTCAGAGCTTGGGTGGTAGATGTGGTAGATGCTCAAAAAAGTGGCAGATCTACAACAATGTGGTAGAAGTCTGTGGTGCGATTCACTACGCGATTTTAACAACTCTTGTTATTGTTAAGTCAGCTAAACGACAATTTTAACAATTTAGCTACTCAGTAAACGTTTCCCTAACAATATTCGTTAGCGCCAATTCAGCTGTTGTCGCTAACGATAGCGAAGGCCGCTAATTTGACGACGTTTAGATTGGTGTTGTTAATAAAACATAAAAATGCACAGCACCGCTAGCAAAAAAATATCAAAAATTAAAGGGTTTTTCAGAAACATCAAACTTAAAGTTCAAGTACTAAAATTTAATGGGCTACAAAACTGCATACATAATTCGTTTATTATTCTGATAAAAAATTTGAAGTTTTACGAAAGTTTGTTGAATTTTGTTTAAATGTTGCACAAGGTTTGAAGCTACAGTTTGTACGATTTTAGGTGCAGAATAAACTATTAAAACAAGTAATACAAATTAAATAACAAAAAAAAATAGTTTGTTACAACACTTGTCTATATGTGTTCCGGTTATAATTTTCCAATACGGCGTAAACAAATATAGAAAAGTGGAAGTTAAAAGGTGAAAGCCTATTTTTTTAATCTTACAGGAACTGAATATGCCTTGAATTTAAGGAAATTTAATAATTAAAGTTTTCAATTTAATACGTGTGCATCGTTTATTAAAAATATAAATATTATATATCGCTAGCTTAGAGAGAAAAGTAGCTAAGTCCACTTTTTATGAAAACACATATATTGATACAAGAGGCTAGAGAAATTAAGAATGCGTCGATTCGAAAAGGGTAAAGGCCAATGTTTTATGCTTTCTCGGTTATAAATATTCAATGAAAGGAAAATTTGCTAAGTTCAAAAAAGCTCCGAAAATGCGATATGTATGTTAATATTTAAAACGTTCTTTATTAATCATCATGACACTAGCATAATACAATCAGTCCTCAAAATAAATATGTACAAAATGTGCATACAGTGATTTTTTTTTAATATTAACAATCTTTTTCGTGTTAAATCTTTTTTGTAAACTTTTTATTTACAGCTGCGTGTAAACTATGTCAACAAAATTCAAAATTATGGTGTTTGCTACTTATGTGTATTTATTTATTATTTTAAATAATTTTATTTTTAGTAGTTCCATCTACTATATTTCTACTGAAACCACATAAATGAAAGTTTCAAAGCTTGCATAAAATTAACCAAAATGAATCAAACTTAAAAAAATTTACTCCAAGCTTTCTAACTTTTTATTGATAATTTTTATAAGATTTTCGGGTGTGCAATTTTGTAGCCCATTCAATTTTAGTCTAATAAAGTGCAAGTTTCATGTCGCTAAAAGTTACCGTTGATTTTTTAGAATGTTTTTTGTGGAGGGTGTTGCGCATTTTCTTCCACATAAATTGCCTGTGTGCTCACACGAGCGCCTTGGCATATGCAATGGATTTGTGCCCAATAGCGGCAGCACAGTTAGTGAATCGCACAATCGTTACTGCAAACAACAAAAATTGTTAGCTTACAACTCGATAAGACGCATTGTTAAAAGTTAGTGAATCGCACTACTGATCACTGAAAGGAATCTTACAGAGTATATACAAAC